CATGCTTATCTCTCTATTTGGCCGATTTCTATTGTCCATTGAGAGAACCACAGTGAACTGTTCTCTCAAGGGACAAACTCCCCTGGCATGTTATCTCTACATTTCTACTCTTTCCAGCCTGGTAGAGGCTATATATTAAGCACCAGTCTTGAAAAAGCTTTAAACTTAAAACTTTAAAACTTTCCATGTGTGAGAAATGGAGCAGTACGTAGGAAGTCAATGACGGCATATTTTATGGCTCTGAATATGTTATGGCGTTTTATAACATTAAAGATGTACATGTAGCTTCAAAAGTGTAATATATCACATATAACTACCAAAATATAAGCAAGTCTCAGCGGCCCAGTCTCAGAATACACTGTGTGTGTGCTAATTGACATACAACATCTACAGGTACTGTATCTGTCTTTCTTGTATGTCAAGTACATTCTGTAGTGTTTTCCTAATTTGGATTACATCAAAGTTGAATACATTCTCTCTGTTCAATTAATAGTAACCAACAAGTAGATCAATGAACCAATAACCTCGGTCATCTGAAGGTTAGACATCCAGGTAATAAGATAAGACAAGAAACAGGTACCCCATCAACTGGATATGATTTTGGAAACGGTCAGACGTTTCAGGTAGCATCCACCAGCTTTCGTCAGTGACACTGGAGAGTTGACAGTGTCTTCACTTATTATTATAATTATACATTAAATATCAAGCAATAGTTTGCACTAAGTATCACTGACGAAAGGTCTTGGATGAAACGTCTGGCCGTTTTCAAATTCGCATCCAGTTGCTTGAGTAACTGTTTTTTTGGAATAACCTCCGACAGATCCAGGCAGAGCGAGAGCGGAGAATGCAGGAAGTCTCCATGTTGGAGCGACACATCATCCAGGCTCGAGCACGGGCAACCTCCGCGGATGAGCGGGCACTGAACAGGGTCGCAGAGGGCTACAATACTTACCACGACCTCGGGCTGCCACCAGGTCAGAAAACCTCAAAAGTTTAGTACAAGACTATCAGCTAATTAGCACAAATTGATTAATAAAATAACCTCCCTCCTTGGAAGGTTGTAGTAGTACATGTTTTGAACGGGCACTGAACAGGGTCGCGGAGGGCTACAATACTTACCACGACCTCGGGCTGCCACCAGGTCAGAGAATTTTTTTTTTATGTCCTAATGTAAACAATAGCCTGGGTTGTAACATTCCTAGCTAATCATTGGTGCACAGCAAAGTTGCAAAGTTCTAGCCACATGCAGTCCTGGTGGTGGAAAGAAGATGCCGGTGTTACTCTTGTTTTGAATGACTGGAGGTTGTTGTCAGTGATCAGGCCGACCACGTTGTCTGGGAGACTGTTCCAGATGTCAACTGCAGTATGTATGAAGGTACTGCCGGTGGCGAATGTATAAATTATTATATTGCAGACTCCTTCTATTGCCTTTTAGTAAGTTTTACTTCTCCAGCTAAAATCAAATATCCATTCTACAACACCTACCACGAACTCTGGCTGCCACCAGGTCAGAATTCCTCCTGATGTTAAATCAAAGTTTATTGCGCTACAATCACATCAGGTAGAATTAAGTGTTAATGTTGCATGTATATAAGACTGTACATATATGCTGCTGTTATAATAGTGTGTAGGATTGATTCAGCAGTATGCATATGGGTAAGGGGGTGAAGTCTGCCATCCCTGATTGCCTTGTCTTGCCCCCCTCCCTTCCCAGTGCGTTCCCATTTCTGCTACCTGCTGGACAGTGATCTGCTGAAGAGACACGGCCTGCTGGTGCCAGAACACTTCTCTACACAGGAGCCTCCACCGCAGAATCCTCCTGAACGTACGTACGAGTTAAACATATACATGTACATAATATACATAATACATACACAACTTTATACTTACACACGGGCTGCTGGTGCCGGAACACTTCTCTACACAGGAGCCACCACCGCAGAATCCTCCTGAACGTACGTAGTTACTAGATTTTAACTTTTACTATAATATGCATCATTGTAGTGTCTGGGAGGGCAACTTGTAAAGGTGTTAATACTGTCTGTTTTGCAGTCAGACCTTTGGCTTGTATACTTGACAATGTGTAGAATTCCAATAAACAAATAAACTTCGTGAACGAAATGTCTCAGAGACACCTGAGAAAAAAGAGACACCTGAGAAATCCTAACTTCCTAAAAGGGTATGTCTTCATTTTTCAAGACACCTTGAACACACCTCAGGTACAAAATCATGTTTAAAACAAGATGAAACCAAGTAATTTTTGCTCCCCTCCAAACAGCGGTGGAGCTGCCCAACTACGCCCGGGACACCCTGACCTTCCACGAACACGTCTCCACCAGCCCAGTGGATGATGGGTATGATGATCCAGACGAGCTACCTAGGAAAGAGGTGAAGAGGTCGCCCAAGACCAGGGTAACTCCGGAGGAGAGCAGACCTAAAACTGTGAGTGTGACAATCTACTGTTTATTATGTTTATTCTGTTTACCCTTCCCAGAAAAAAGACATTGCTTTTGCTCTGTTACTTTTTCTTCTCCAAGCAAATAAGGTCAATGACCTCGACCAGAGGGCCATCACCATGGTAACTGGTGCTGTAGCAGACACCCTGTGGTGTTGGATTACATTATGTAGCAAGTGGCAGGACAGAATTGAAAGGGCTGGTCTCGAATAAGAATAAACAGAGCATTTTAGATTGTGGGGCTAGACCATGTGAAGATTATAACATTGTGGATTTGCTTTGCAAATGTTACCTTAAAAAGTTTGTAGTTTCTTTCTCATGACATGTATGTAGCAATTGGCAGGACAGAATTGGAGGGCTGGTCGCCATGTATTTCGGTGTGCTAGAACAAAAAAACAGAGCAGTAGTTTGTTAGGTTAGAACATGTGAAGATAAACATTGTGTAATCGTACATCGGCAAAGGTTAGTCATCCAGGTAATAATAAAGAGATGCCAAAAACAGTTCCTCAAGCAACTGGATATGATTTCGAAAATCATATCCGGTTGTTTGAGTAAGTGTTTTTGGCATTGTGCATTTTTGGCATTGTACATTTTGCTTTGCAAATGTTACCTTACAGTTTCTACTTTTTGAATCATCTTCTTTATCTCCTTTGCAGATCAAAGAAGGTCTGCGGGAGGTTTGGAAGGAAGCCATGCCGCCGGTGTCTCGAGTCCAGGAGCGCTCGGTGCTGGCAAACCTCGAGGAGCGGCACAACTTCCTGAGGAACCCTCGTCACATCCCGCCCTCGGCCCCACACGGAGGGAGGACTCTGGTGAAGAAGAAGAAGAAACTGCCCAAGCTGGTGGGGGGGAGGAGTGTGTATGTGGAGGAAAGGTTAGACTATTTTTTTTTAATAATTAACATTTAAAATCATTTGTTACAGTAACTGTGATTCCTAATTTTTCACGGTACTTTTATGTGCACTGTTTTCAGTGTCACTTCTGTTCCGTGAACTTATCATAACAGTTAACATGTCAAATAATTCCTGGACTTTCTTTTTCCTGCACCTGTCGCCACCGTGAATATATAGTGCCGTGAACATGTCCACTTTCCTTAGACTGTGAAATTTTGCTGCGGTGACTATAAAGTGAATTACAATAATGTACTATGTCAGATATTTTTTAAAAAATTATGTACTATATTATTTATATCAGCATCAGCTCACCAGACCAGTTATTGTGTACTATATATATGTCAGATGTTCTTGTGTAATATTTTGTTAGTTAATGTGTACTTTGTACTATGTCATCAGCCCTGCAGAAAAAGAGCCTGCCGTAGTTTTTGTGGCGTCTCCTTCAGAAGTCGTCTTCAGACAATACAGCGTCGGACAAGTCTACGAGGTAACTTCTCTAACTCCTTAAAGTTCAGGCTAGAGTCAAGAGAAACACCTTAAGATTTTATTGTCATTTCTTGCCTTGTTACAGAAGAGTCTTAACCCTTGTCCTGCGGAGCCCATAAATAAGGTTGCACATACAGTACCATCTATATAGCACCCTGTATATGTAAGATTTGGGGGTATTTCTCACGCAACGCATCACACCGCAGCGAAACGCATCAAATGTGGAAGTAACTACTCCACCACGGGACAAAACAAATGGGTGGTCTATGACCTGATTAAGACTTCAAATGATTGAAAAATATTGTATAAAAAATGCCAGCAGGACAAGGGGTAAGAAAGAACATTCTTGCAGTTGAGAGACTAAAAATGATAAATCGATAAATTATTCCAAAATCATCCCAAACTGTAAGTACTGATGTCGTCTTCAAATTTCCTCCTTTAGATGATCTTGGACTTGAAGAATGTGACGACGGCCAGTCGACAGTGTCGAGTCATTCCTCCTAAGACGTCTTATTTCTCAGTTGGTCTTGGTAAGGGCTGCTCGGTTTTAATAATCATATATATATTATATTATGATCATAAATAATGATAGATAATGACAATAAGATAAGGGCAGCTGTATTTCTATCAGTATTGTATGGCCTAGAGTTGCTGTGTAGATTGAGGTACTTTAATGTAATTAGTTGTTTCTTTAATTCTGTAATGCTTTGCCTTTGTGCACCTGTTACAATTGTTGTTTAAGTTTGAGTTTATTAGGATCCACATTGAGCATACATTCACATGACAGTAGCTATTCTTCCTGTGGTCTGTTCTAATGCACAGTCATACAAAACACAGGGAAATATACAGAACAGTTACTTAATACAACAATTGTGAAGTAAGGTAACACACAACTTGTTAATTAACATATTAGGCCATATACATCAACAACAAAGAATTACAGCTTCATATCATTCCAGGTGCTACAAATCCTGTTCAAAAATCTCTTTTTATGAGCAGTTGTTTGGGGTGTCTTAGTTAGTGCTTTTGCTATTGTGCAATACACTTGTACTTGACCTGACTTGCACACCACTTCCCTTCCCCCCAGGCCAGTTCCCGGGAGACCAGGGCATCGTGGCACCGGGCATGAGCTGCCAGTACACCGTCCGGTTCGCGCCGGACTCACTGGCGGACTATGACGACTGTGTCCAGGTCCAGACCCAGTCTGCCACGCCCATGTACATCAAGATTAAGGGCAGGAGAGAGCCCCCTGCCCTCACACGTGAGTACTGCAGGATCTACTCATGACGCATAACCCACAGAACATTGCTGTTTCTAGTGTAACAGTTGCAGCAGTTTCTCTAGAAGGGAATATCTGTAGAATAGCTAGTCAAAGGCTAAGAGTTCTGTGATGTTCTGTATAGAATATCTATAGGTGATGTTCTTTATAGAATAACCAGAAGTGAGGTCCTGTACATATAGAATACAACACAAATGTTATCGCGGCCCGGGTATAATATAAAATATAGAATATCCAGAGTTATGTGATGTTCTGTATATAATAGAATAACCATAGGTGATTTTCTGTATAGAATAACCTGAGTTCAGTGACACTCTATAGAATAAGGAGTATTCTGTGATGTAACTGTATAAAGAATATCCAGAGTTCTGTGGTGTTCTATAGAATTACCAGACTTTTGACAGTTAGGTTCTGTATTAAGTAACCAGAGGTCCGTGATGTTCTGAAGAATAACCAGAGTTAATTCTGTGATGTTCTGTAGAATGAGAAGACTTCTTTGATGTTCTGTGGAATAAACAGAGCTCTGTGTGATGTTCTATAGAATAACCAGAGCTCTGTGTGATGTTCCGTAGAATCACCAGTATTCTGTGATGTTCTGTAGAATCACCACAGTACCCTGAACATTCTGTATTTTCAGTACCATCTGTGCTAGACTGTGGTCACTGTTTAGTCGGTGGCTGCAGAGTTGTGCAGTTCCTCTGCAGAATACCCCAATGTTCTGTAGAATAACCAGAGTTCTGTGCTGTTCTGTAGAATAACCAGTGATGTTCTGTATTTCCAGTACCATCTGTGCTAGACTGTGGGCACTGTTTAGTCGGTGGCTGCAGAGTTGTGCAGTTCCTGTGCAGGAATGATGGAGGGCCCGGACGCTTCTGCCTCATGCCAAAGAACCTCTGGCCTACTGCAAACTACAGGGTGAGTTTGTTTGTTTGTTTGTTTGTTTGTTTGGGATCTCCATTAGTGTGAAGTTCACACTACTCTTCCTGGAGTCCGTAGTAAATAATCAGATAATAAGTATTAATTTTGGACCATCGCACACCGGGGTGTGCCCCAACACTTTTTTGAATCCTAAGAAGAGTAAGAACCCTTTGGTGTGTTGGATTATTATAAGTAAGACCATCTATTGTTTGACGATGTATTCAAACCTGCTTAATTGTGGTCTCTTGAGATCTGTTGTACTTTTAAAAAATGATGTGAGCTGCTCTCTTGTCCCTGTGTGTGCTATCATATCAGGTACTTCTACGTATACTGGCTGAGCAATACTGAAGAAAAATTCCAAAATCACAGTTTCTCATTGCAAGTAACAGGATATAGTTTGGCTGTCAGTTAGTAACTGTTACTGTGGTATGATCTTATTACCTGGATGTCTTAACCTTCATTGATGCGGAATGAGAACATATAAATCTCCAAGCAGATTCTATGGTAGCTTTAAAGACAGCATCAACCTTGGGTGGCATATCGACCCTCTCTGGCCAATGGATACTGCCTGGCCAATTTGATACTGTCTTTTGCCACCCTAGGATCTGCTTGGAGATTAGAAAACAATTAACAGTAACTGTTGTTCTATATTGTTCCTGTTCTACAGAGCATCTCGACCCCCGGCCGTGTGGAGCTGGCCCCGTTCGAGGTGCGACCTGCTGTGTTCCAGCTCATGCCGGGGGAGGCCATCCTGCTAGAGGTCAGTCAGAGGGCAGGGGTTAGGGGTTGGAGGTCAGGGGTCAGAGTTTAACATCGAGTTCAGTTAGACATTGTTATAGAGCAAAAGTCTTTTCAGAGGGTCAGAGGTTAGTTTGGGGTCAGGGGTTAATATAGAGCAAACTCTTTAAGGGTTCAGAGTTCAGTTGGGGTCAAGACCTGCATGATTTGTGTTTAAATGTTACACTGATCCAGTTTCCTCTTTCCAGATCCTGTTTGCACCAACGTCCATCAAGACCTTCAACCAGGCTGTCACCATGGTGTGTGACAACTGTCAGGTCAAGCACTTCACTGTCAAGGGTAGGTACAGTACAGCTTAGTACAGCACAGCATGGTATAGCATGTCAAGTACAGCTCCCTACAGCACTGCACAACACTGTACAGCACAGTACAGCACAGCCAGGCTGTCACCATGGTGTGTGACAACTGCCAGGTCAAGCATTTTACTGTCAAGGGTAGGTACAGCACACCATGGTACAGCATTTAGTACGGCACTGTATAGCATTGTACAGCACAGTACAGCTCAGTACAGCACAGCCAGGCTGTCACCATGGTGTGTGACAACTGCCAGGTCAAGCACTTTACTGTCAAGGGTAGGTACAGCACAACACGGTACAGCATTTAGTACAGCACAGCCAGGCTGTCACCATGGTGTGTGACAACTGCCAGGTCAAGCACTTTACTGTCAAGGGTAGGTACAGCACACCATGGTACAGCATTTAGTACAGCACTGTACAGCACAGCCAGGCTGTCACCATGGTGTGTGACAACTGCCAGGTCAAGCACTTTACTGTCAAGGGTAGGTACAGCATTTAGTACAGCTTAGTACATCACTGCACAGCACAGTAAAGCTCAGTACAGCACAACCAGGCTGTCACCATGGTGTGTGACAACTGCCAGGTCAAGCACTTTACTGTCAAGGGTAGGTACAGTACAGCATTTAGTACAGCTCTGTACAGCATTGTACAGCACAACTAGGCTATCACCATGTTGTGAGACAACTGCGAGTGTCAATAGTACATGTAGGTACAGTACAATATAATGGTATATACACTGTAGTACATCACTGTACGTACAACACATTGCAGCACTTCAGTATAGCACATTACTATATATAGTACAATACAATACAGTACAGTATAGTACAGCACCTCACCTTTACCTGCCTGTTTGTTACAGGTGTTGGCCAGATGGCAGGTGTGGAGATGATGTTACCTGTTTGTTACAGGTGTGTGAACAGGTGTGTGATGTTGTGTTACAGGGTGTAGGTCAGACGGCAGGTGTGGAGATGATGTTACCTGTATGTTACAGGTGTGTGAACAGGTGTGTGATGTGTGTTACAGGTGTGTGAACAGGTGTGTGATGTTGTGTTACAGGTGTAGGTCAGACAGCAGGTGTGGAGATGATGATGGTTGCGGGCGGGGAGAGCGAGCCGTTGCCGGGGGAGATCCTGGACGCGACGGCCCGACATCTTGTCCGCTTCGACTCCGTGCACCCCATGACCTTCGCACAGCGCACCATGGCCATCAGGAACACCACGTGGGTTTTCTCTCTTTTTATTTTATCTACATGTAACATGTTGTAGCATAGTGATTACTAAATAGAAAGTTTCATGTTTCCCTTCGCAGAAGGAAAACATGTTCATCTTGTTTTTGCTCAGTTTCTTTTTCTTCTCAAAACAAAGTCAATGACCTGGGCCAGACGTCTGTCACCATGGTGAATTTTTGTAGATGGCTTGTTTCCATGTTGACCACGTCTGTGATTACTGTTTCTATGGTAACAGCTTGTTTCCATGGTAACTCTAGATCTGTCTCCATGGTAACCATACTTCCATTGAAACCATGTCCATGGTGACTGATGTTTGCTCGTTTCCATGTTAACTACGTCAATAGTAACTGTTTCTATGGCAATGGTTTGTTTCCATGTTGACTTCACCTATGGTAGCTGTTTCTATGGCAACAGCTTGAATGTTCCCATGGTAACTGTTTCTATGGCAACAGCTTGAATGTTCCCATGGTAACTGTTTCTATGGCAACAGCTTGAATGTTCCCATGGTAACTGTTTCTATGGTAACAGCTTGAATGTTTCCGTGGTAACAGTTTCTATGGTAACAGCTTGAATGTTTCCATGGTAACTGTTTCCATGGTAACAGCTTGAATATTTCCATGGTAACCACAGGGACGTGGAGCTGCCGTTCCACTGGCAGATTGTGAAGCCGACCCTGGAGCCTCCTGACGCCGGGGAGGGGGAGAAGGTGTCGGAGAACATCGAGTGTTACCCCGACGTGGGGACGGCCTTCTCCGTCATCCCCGAGGGTGGGGTCCTGCAGCCTAGCAACACGGAGGAGTTCCTCGTGACCTTTGCACCCACACAGGTAAGGTCGTCTGGCAGTCGGCATGGGGTGGGGGGATTTTATGGATAGTTCTAGAAATAATATGTATTCTAAATTTTCACATCTTTTATATGACCAATATCATATGAGTTATCTTTTCTAACCTGACCTTTGCCCTGTGTTGACCTTTACCCTGTATTGACCTTTGTCCTGAGTTGACCTTTTCCCTATGTTGACCTTTACTCTGTATTTAATTTTGCCCTGTGTTGCCCTTTGTCCTGAGTTGACCTTTGCCTCGAGTTGACCTTTGCCCCATGTTGACCTCTGCCCCATGTTGACCTCTGCCCCTTGCTCCAGGAGGAGACCAGCTACAACAGCGTCCTGCACATGATCCTGCACCACATCCCGGAGGTGCCCCACCCCGAGGACGACACCCCCAGGGACAGGCCCCCCACCCCCGAGGGGAAGGTAGACATGCACAGGCAGAAGTACGACATCCTACCCTTCCTCATATAGGCCCCTGTTGTATCCAGAACTGTGCTTTATCCAGAACCATGCCTTGGGCAAATCTATGTTGTTGTATGCACAGAGACTATCCAGAACTGCACTTGATCTTAACCCTAACCTTTTCAAGCATAGAACTAGACATGCATGGTTCTGGATACAATAGGGACTTGCATAATTATACAAAGGCCTCTAGGTGGATACTTCAGTAGGTCTTCTCTGCTTAGATGTCTTAACTAAGAATTCACTTCCTTTGATCCACCTGTAATCTTTGGGTCCAAAAGCAGGACAAAAAAAAAACACTACACCACAGCACCAACGTTAACCATTGCCTGTAACGGTAACTCTTGCGAGATCATGTTGTAAAGTGATTGGTCATTAATTATCCTGATGAAGGCGACAGTGTTCGTTGAAAATTTGATCTCAGTGTAACCCTTGCATTGTTCAACATTTTACCATCATTACTACCAAGTGAACACAGATGAACTTTGATGACAACCTTTAACCCTGTTCCGCAGAACCAAATTAACCTTTGACCTATGCCCTCCGCAGGTCGTCGGACTCGCTGGCGTCCCAGTCGTCGTCGAAAACCTCGGAGGACGGCCTGCGTCTGCGCGACGTCATCGCATTGGAGGTGGAGCTCAAGGGCACGTGTCGGACGTTCAACGTTCTCCTGGATCCCTACGCCATTATTGTGCCGGGGCAGCTGCTCATGTCAACTGTCGTCAAGAAGCACTTCAGGGTACGGCTTTGTTTTGTTTTTCAGTTTTAACCTCATTTTTCCCCGAACCGGGGGTTAGACGTGCTTGCAACAAGTGCAAGTCTTTTTGTTGAAGCAAGATTTTTACGGCTAAATGCCCTTCCTTACACCAACCCAAGCCCTAGTAGGTCCCAAGATCCCTCTAACTGAGGGATTTGTTTGTTTGCTTGTTTGTGTCTGCCTGTGGTCTTCACAAATCTACAAACCATGCGATACAGAAAATAGGAGACACGGTTCAACTTATCAAGTTTAACTTTTAGAATTTATCTTTTGATCAGTATCATGTTTTGTGTAACTTTCATCTGTTCTATAAAAAGTTAGAATAACACAACTTTCAGCACCAAGGAAGGGCCAATAGCAACCAGTGATTTGATTTATCAACCTTTGTTACCCTCTATTTATTCAATAATGTTTGTATGTTTGTATTTGTGTAGATGATCAACACGAGTCAGTGGATGTTGTCCTTTTCCTGGGAGTCTCTGAGTGACCCACACATCCTTGAGGTGGAACCACCAGCAGGGCATATAGGTCAGTTTCTATGTGTTTATTAAGTAATACTTATTCGAGTTCAAAGATCAACATGAAAACATGAGTAAGAGGGGAAAGTCTGTACTTTGGTTCACACAGGATAGTGTATAGTGGATAGTGTATTTTTTGGATAAATACCTGTGAATGCCACTTGAAACGTGTCATAGTTTTCAAAACCTATACAGTTGCTTGACTAACAATTTCCTTGTGTATTTCATTTAATATGTTTATTTGTATCTCATTACCTGGATGTCTAAGCTAACCTTCATCGATATATATGCAGTGTAGTTTTGCTTTTCTGCCGGTGACAAATATAAAGTGTAGTTTTGCTGTATCTCATTACCTAAATGTCTACCCTTCATTGACATATATTCGGGTATATTGTGTCATATATTAACCTTATTGAGTGTAGTCTTGCCGTTTTGCTGTTGCAGAAGCAGGAGATGTGATGGAGATGCAGTTGAGCATCACTGGCGGGCGGCCGGGAGTTCTGGAGCACAGACTCCTCTGCCACATCCAGAACAGGAGCGAACCCATCAGTCTCTACATCAGGGCTAACATCAAGGTAGGATCAGGAACAACTTAAGGACCAAAGGTTTCGGGGTTCGAATCCAGTCTGGACTGTAACAGTTGTAACAAATCCTTTCCAGATCCTTGAGTAACTGTTTCATTGTGTATCTCATTACCTGGATGTCTAACCTCAGTGACCCATTCCGGCCAACATCAAGGTACGACCATGAACAACTTGAGAACCAAAGGGTTCGGGGTTTGAATCCAGCCTGAACTGTAACTGTTGTCAATTGTGTACCACTGGTAAGGGTCGCCATATGTGTGACCTAAACCATCTCGCTGATTTTCCAATTAGAAGTGGTTTTGTTTTGATGTGAACCATGTTTGTTTATTTGTTTGTTTGTTTAGGGCCCTGAGGTGATCATCGAGACGCCATCGCTGGACTTCGGGCTGGTGCAGCCGGGTGACGTGGTGGTTCGAGAGATCCACATCCGGAACACGTGCCAGATCCGCGCCGCCTGGTCGCTGCAGGAGAGCGCCGCATTTCTGGAGGCCGAGGACGGAAATGTGGTACGGTTCCAATATACCAGCTTGTCGTTATGCTTGTTAGGCTACACTGACTTAATTCTATGGATGACATCCTCTGAAGACCGCCAAACTAGTACGTGCAGGGGAATTTAAAAAAGTTCAGCCAAAAAAAATGCTACTAAAGTTAACTCGCAGGAATACAAAGCTGGGATTGTGAATTTACAGCTACTGTAGTACATAGCGACTTTTACGACAAGCCGGCACATGCTGGCCTTTTGTAGCATTTATGAGTCGGCACTGTACTGAGTTTTTGAGTTCTGTGGAGCCTCGGCAGCCTGGGTGCCATCTTCTGTTGTTACCACCAGCTCCCTATTGCTGCTAGCTATCATGGACAACAGACAACACAGATTAAGACTAGACAAGTAACATTTTGAAAGCAAATGCATAATGTTTACCTTCGGACATGGTCTCCTCTGTTAATTCTTACTCAAACACATTCACATACATGTACTACAGTGACTATAGTATCATGGTGACAGGAGCAGAGCAGACCATGAAATTGCAACATTATGTAACACAACACCAGTCACCATGGTGACAGACGTCAACAAATCGTCATTGGTCAGGTCAGAGGTCACTGTTTGGAGAAGAAGAAGAAACTGAGCAAAATATATGTTTTCCTTCGGTAAACATAATTAAGGCACTGTTCCAAATCATTATAGTAACCTATAACCTTTTGTGTCCCTCCAGCTGGCGAGTGAGTTTGAGCTGACCCCATCGTCCGGCGAGCTGCCCCCTCTTGGCTCCCTCGCCGTCCGAGCAGTCTTCAAACCCGCCCGCTGTCGGAGCGTCCGAACCGTCTTCGTGCTGATGGTACCCAACGGGCCTGACAGGTGAGAAGTTACCATGGCAACAGAACATAGGGATGAAAACGTGCAGCATGTCGGCAGGTGCAAAAACGTGCTTAGTCAACATGAGTGGCCTCACTTTTCTGCAACACCAGAAAGCTTTATCAAACAAGGGATAACCAAGGAATTGTGCACCTGAAGTGATGACACATTTGAAGTGATTACAGTTTGACAGTGTGTACAAGAAGTGATGATACAAAGTGTACATATGAAAATAATGGTGACGAATGAACAAATGACAGATCTAGAGTTTCTATACAGTTACTGTTATACAGAGTGATGACAGAGTCTGTATGACAAAGTTTGAATGCATTAAGTCATGACAAAGGCCCCATTTTCACTAGCTAAGGGAAAAATTGTCCAAATAGAGCCAAATTGATTCGCTTTCAATTCTGACTATTTTACCCTAGTGAGAATGGGGCCAAAGTGTGTATGCATATTATGTTCAGATGAAGTGATGACCATGTTGGTGCACATAAAGTAATGACTGGACAATACACATTTGGTGATGACTACATATATGTTGGTGCACATAAAGTGATGACCTTTTTGGTGCACATAAAGTGATGACTGTGTTAATTGGTACTCACTAAGTGATGACAAGACATGCACATAAACTGACAACTGCCCTGCCCCCCCCCCCCACGA